TACGTCTTTTAAATTAGGAATTGTTTACTAATACATATCATTTGGGAATAGCATTTGTGAGAACCAATTGGTAGGTAATGTTCTCCTTAAAATATTGCTCTTGAGTTTGGTGTTTGCATCTTGTTCGGTCTAACTATGTGGTTTTGTTAATCCTTCTATCTTAATTACCTATTGTAATATATGTATGTATGTAAATACGTACCACAAACGACAGTTTTGAACAAATGCTAAAAATAGTTAAGGAATTTGCACAAGCAGTAAAATAAATATCGATAAAATTGCAAGCTTTCAGGCTGATTATGGTGATACCAAACTTATATAATGTATCCTTGTTGTAATGACCCATTTTCGCAATAAGTGTGGGAGAGGCATGCTAAGTGTGGGAGAGCCATACTTTGGCACGAGTGGCTCGACCGGAGTGATACGGCCTCACAGAAGACCGGCGTGAAACAACCACAGCGTTGTGTTTTTCCGTGTGAGTGAGGTTACCGGAGGCGCAATCCTTCCCTTGGACCCTTCCCCAATCCCTAAATCTCCGAATCCCTAATCCCTAAAAGGTCGGTAACGCACTCGTAAATCCTCTGTTGCAGGTGTCCATGGGCGGCGCTGATTGCTTACCATCAGGTAATCCGTCTGCTCGTTTGCCGACCAATTACATAAAAAAACATAATAATAATAAGTTTGAAGTTTTTGTCTGACTTATGGTTTTTAGTCATTAAGATTCTGGACCTTCCCCTTATCACCACAGGCGAGGGGCTCCACGGGGGATAAAAGAAACAATCGTTTTATTTTACATCAACATTTTAACACGAAGAAGGAATGAGCATTTGTCACACGCTTTCAGGGCGGATTGGCGATTTCAATCTATACTGATATTATAAAGTTTGTATGTAGGGGGTAATCTTTGGAACCGCTGGTCGGATTGCCAAAATTCTGTAACTGATAGATAGCTACAATGTTCCTGAGTGCTATAGGCTATAAATATCACGCTATGATCAAATAGAGCTAAGCTGCGGGTAAAACCGCGCGAGAGTAGCTAGACTATTATACATTTTAAGTCCAAGTTTCCTCACGCTGTTTTCATTCCCTTCAAACACATCAGGCTGTATAAAATAGGGATTCCAGTTCCAAACATTGTATCTTTTCCCGAAAGGTATCCAATATTGTGATTAAATGTTAACAATAGACAAACAGTGGCAATTGTTTGGAAGGTTTCCTGTCGCGTCGAATGTTTTTTTTGTTACGTAATTGGTTTTCGTCCACCTTCGTCATTCAGGTGACCTTGGAATGAGATAAGTTCTTTTGTTTACTGTTACATAAACGTATACGAATATTGTTTTGTTCGTGTGTTGATGAATTCGGTTCTCCGAGTGGTTGCTTTTTGTGTTTGCTTGGTATAATAATATTGTGGCTGTTGGATGTTTTCTTTGAAGATTTGCGTTACGGTTTATTTGGCGGTCTTGAAGATGGTTTCACAAATGGAGAGTTGTCTACTTTGCAAGCTAATTAATGATTAAGCTTTATATGTTAATGGTACTTATTTTTATTCGCAGGTATATCGATACCTATCCATTTACTTGTTCTTGGGGTAGCAGCAGGGTGCTTCGTATTTTTTAAACGTTTTAACGTTTCCTTGCTTTTATTGTTAATAAACATGTTTACTAGCGTGGGCATCGATTAGCTCTTGGACTGAATTATGTATCTCGTGTTTCGCTATTGATCTTTGTATTATTATTGTTATATTCTAGTTGATTATATAACAACTCAAGTACCTTTGAATATTGAGTTACTCAGGGTTCTCAGGGCAACCAAAATCTTGCCCCATCTTTGTCAACATAGCTTGAGTAAATGTTTGCTTCAAATTTCGGTACTAACATTATCCAGTCGCTATGGGAATAAGGCAATAGTTCGAGAAATGAGACGACGAATCACTTTATGGTAATTAAGTCAATAACTGAACATGGAACTGTAGCATCCATGGATTGCTGGCCTTTAAGGATTAGGCATAGAGCGTAATCCTCTATGGGATTAAGGTTTTAAAGTTGGAGCGTTTGGGTATCTGAGATTGGAGGGGTGTGATTGGACTTCCAGTAACTAAAACTGGACTGACACTATATCTTCAAAATTTGGTTTGACGTTCAAAAGTGCCTGTAAAGGTCTAACTGGATAAATGATTTTTGACTTTTTGAAAACTACGTTTTATCTTCGAGCACTCTTTTTTCAAAGTCAAAGTCAAAGTAGAAACATTTGTTCCAACTAAACCATAAATAAACTACTTTTGAAACGTCAAAATCAAAGCTAGGTGCTCGTTTCAAATTGTAGATTCGAATGGAGAAGAACGAGCAAGAAACACCATCGTTACTCTTTTTATTAAAAAATAATATTTGTTTTATAATTTCACTACTATAATATTAAGTACACATTATTGTACCCTTATGTAAGAACAATGCTGAGACAAATTGTAAAATAAGAACAATAGATGGGATCTATCATTAAATTTTAATCCTTTGTCGTCTCGAACATGGCCCTCACATAGTCGCACTGACAATCTAAAAGAATGCTTCTATATAAACTCTATGGATATTTAAATGAAACATTCATAAATTTTGAGAATTTTAGTACTGCCTATATTTGAGTATTGTCCAGTAGAGCCGAACCGACACGCTGCCAGGCTTCTTAGAGTCTCTTTCTCTTTCGCCTGTGATTATTCTGGTGCTGCAGGTGTCCATGGGCGGCGCCGATCGCTTACCATCAGGTGACCCGTCTTTTCGTTTTCATCGTATTTCATAAAATAAATGTGTGGTACATAGTAGATATTCGAACATTCTGAAATAGGTATTTAATTTTCGAAAATTTCATTTTCGCATTGTAGCTAGGCACAATTCCATATATTAACATATTCTCTTTCTATGTAAGTACGTACGTATGTAAAATTTAAATTAATATGGTTTTCTTAGAACTAGATCCCCTTCATTGGCACATTCTCAGAATTCAGGATTCGACTGGTCTTATTATAAAGGAGGTTACTTTCTGGAACTGTAAGGGTGATTTCAAAATTTCTCTTTGTTAGGGAGGGTTTTATCGAGTTTCTAAATATCTCTCCAGCCACTAGTCAGAAACTATATAGACTAGTATAAACTGACCGTTGGATGTGTGAAGATCTTATATAAAGCTAGACCATGATATACTGGTTTTATATTGTTTGGTGTGTAGCCGTCTGTACTGCTCCCAAAACCAAGATTAAGGATCTAAGTTTTCCATTTCATTTATGATTATATCGGTCAAACAGACTGAAGCAGGTAATATTGATAATGATGATGATGAATAAATAAAGTGAAGAATATTTTTATTTAATCTTTGCCTAAAATAAAATTATTATATGCAACACATAGATACTATTTGCTGCCAGGCGCTTCATCCGTTAGGTGTATATACCGCGGAGAAAAATAGCCAATGTACAAAATTTCATTTAGTTCCTCTGATCAGTAGTTATTTCGTTTGAGATTGAATAGGTTGTTAATGTGTAGACTACATAGATGCTGGCAAATAATATAAAAGAAGTAATAAACATCAATTCTCCTATCCAAGCTTATATAAACTTTCGCGTGTATAATGTTAATAGAATCAGTCACAAGAGAATTTTATAGAAGAGTAATTTTATAGTTAGTGAGGGAGCGCCATGCTTGGGCACAAATGTGTTGGCTCGACTGGACTGACACCATGGCCTCACATAAAACCAGAGTGAAACAATCACAGCGTTGTGTTTTGCCGCGTGAGTAAGGTTACCGGAGGCCCAATGCTTCCCCTCCCCAATCCCTTCCTAATCCCCAAATCTCCAAACCCCTAATCCCTAAAAGGTCGGCAACACACTCGTAACTCCTCTGTAACCATGGGCGGCGCTGATAGCTTACCATCAGGTAATCCGTCTGCTCGTTTGCCGACCTATCACGTAAATAAAAAATACTTCTTTTAGTTCGACCAGCATCGGTATCGCCCACAAACACGTTACATTCTTATAATATTCAATGTCAGTTCAATAAATGGCTGCCAGTCTTCAGATTGCGAACTACGCTCATATTCTTAATAGATTATATCCTCTACAAGACACATGTTCATGGATATTTTTAGAAAAAAACATGTAGCATAAGTATTATGTTGTCAACTCGTTTGTACACCGAAGAAATCAGTAGGTATTCTACGTTTCTATCTATTATAATAATAACAAGATTTTTTTTAAGTATGTGTGGATATCTGTTTCTCTTTTACAGAAAACTACTGATTGGACCTGCTGGTAGTCGGTCTGCTGGTTTCTCATCTTTATTATCGCTTAAATGAAAAGTTAGAAAATCTACTTCTGGTACTAAGTAATACAATCTAGGCAGGAGTCACCAAGTCTAGTCTAAGGGCCTATTACAAAAGAATCTTTACGGGAATTGTTGGAGGGCAGGTTGCCTGCACTCTTTATTATTTCGTTATATTACAAAGAAGTATTTATAAGTTTGGATGTAGGAAGTAAACCTTGGAACCGCTGATCGGGTTTCCAAAATTCTTTCACTGGTACATTTAATAGTCTTTTGCATATAGGACAATAGTCCTGAATGCAAAAGACTATTAATCATACTTGTCTTTTAGTCGAGCTATCGCTTTAAACCATGCTTTAAACGCTCCTGTTATAAAAATCCCGGGATACATTTTTTAGTTTTTGTTTCATCATCATCATCAGCCTATAAGTGCCTACTGCTGAGCAAAGGCTTCTTCTCATACGGAGAAGGTTAGAGCATTAATCACCACGCTTGCTCAATACGGGTTGGCGTTTTCAAACTTATAATACACATCACACCCAAACCCGGAACAAAAATTTGTGGATCACACAAAGAGTTGTTCCGTTCGGGACTCGGACCCGCGACACATTACGCGGCAGCCAGCAGCAGCAAATACTTCAATATTGACATAACTTTTATACGCGTTTGAAACTGAAATAATACAATTATGAAACTTACCTAGAGGTCCAAGTCGGTAGTTCAAGGTAACCACCACCATGTCCCAGTCCATAAGGTGGATAGGGTCGTATATAGCTCCTTCACCATACATGAAGGCTCCTCCGTGGATGAAGACGAGAACTGGGAGATTGGCGCCAGGGTTCATCTTCGGAGTGTACACGTTCACATACAAGCAGTTCTCGCTACCTGGTGAAGGGATGAAATACGCTATCAATATCGCTTTAACAAGTATGAATGTATTAGTTTGTGAAATGGTATCTTATATACCTATAAAAATGAAATACTGTTCGTTAGACATGCTAAATCTCAAAAACTGCTGGAAAGACATGGCTTGGTCGTGAAATATTCTTGGATAGACAGGGAAGGTTCGGAAAGTCACAAAATGTTGCCTGAATTATCAACAACCAATCAGATGACTTGTCAAAAGATTGAACAGGAGATTAGTTAATTTTAGCGTTGACAAGCCTTTCAGAAACCGGGTGTTAGCTGACTCAGCGAACTTCGTGCCTCCATTATAACCATTTTTTTTTATTTAATCACATTTTGTTTGATTGATAATGAAGTTGAACAATTGAAAAAAAAATTGTATACACGTTTAGTTTCCATGGCCGTAAATGCTACTGGAGTTACTGACCTAGCTCATAAAAGCTTGTTTTTAAAACGCTTTTTAATTTTTCTGATGTGCTACAGAAGAGGTTTTAATATGTTTAGGATCATAAAATTGTTGTTGAACTCGACTACTCTTTTAGGGGTTGATGATGATGATGACAATATAAAAATGTCGTAGCTGAGTTTTCAAACATAAAAATTCACACACACATCATATCTAGGCCCGAAACAACACTGGGCAACAATTTGTGAGAATCTTACATCTAGGCCCAGAACAACAATTTGTGAATCACAGAAAGTAGTTCTGTGCGGGAATCGAAGCCGTGAAACGTTGCACGGCAACCAGTTAACTGTGAAGTCGACATAATATCCCTATTCATGCATTAAAGGTTTCAATAATATGTATACAGATACCACTGAAAGCCGTTTCGATCCGAAACATCGTTTATGCGACAGTAAATCAAAGTGGATAACTTGCTGATTCCGACTTGCAGTTCAGCTGGAGGACGTTTTAAATTATCAGTGACATCTTAGGCTTCGTGACAAATATGCTGGCTATTACTTGAGTAAAAGATGGCGCCTATAGTAACATAGCTTGCACTTTAAAAAGACAAATTGTTATGTAAAGAAAAGACAAATTACGCTTTGAGTGAGTTTTGTGCTTTCGTCCTTAAGTCAAAAAATTGATTTTCAGATTGTCAATTTCAAAAGTGGACAATCAGAACTATTGGAAAAAGGATAAAGGAAATAAGATTTTATTAAAAAAATCAGCCCCTACATGGTTGTTTAAGGACCGTTTAAGGACGTTGACCCTAAAGAAATTTGCGGGTTGCTAGAGCAATAAAGTACAGTGGCCCCAGCCCGGAACCGGAGAAGTCAGTAAGAGTCTAATACACTCCGCCCCACCAGGAGGGGAGAAATCACTTGATGCCTTACTCCATAAACAGCTTACATCATGCATAGCATACCCCATCTATACTAATATTATAAAGAGGTAAAATTTGTAAGTTTGTATGTAGGGGGTAATCTTTGGAACCGCTGGTCGAATTGCCAAAATCCTTTCACTGATAGATAGCTACAATGTTCCTTTGTGCTATAGGTTATAAAACATCACGCTACGATCAAATAGAACAGCGGGTGAATCCGCACGAGAGTAGCTATATTAAATAAAAGGTGTGAAGGTATGTTACAATGACCTTAAGTCACCTTAGGCCTGTAGACTAAGTGGAGTTTATTTTTATGACCGTCTTCAAGTAAATTGTTTTGTATCCAATCGTCCAGAGTGCAGAGACAACGATATCTCTTAATTTCGGGGTCACATTCGCTAATTACAACAAATTGTACAAAGTATTCATTGCCTTAAGGCACTTGTTTGGTCTTTGCGAATACATTTTCTTTGCAATATGGCGGCCTTTTTTTATTTATTTGGAACAGATGCTCCTTTTTTGTCAGGAGATAATCATCAAATGACTTGTTCCGCCCGGAGTAAGGCGAGAGAAAGTGTCAGACTCCTAGTAATTGAAAACCCCCTCGTTCCTTCTCTTGCTTTAGTCCGAGCCCGCTATGCCATATTACGCCAACCCCGCAACCCCGGCTGAATATCAGCCCTGTATGGCCCCGTCTGTGGTGGTTCATTGGATTCTTGAGGCGCGCTCTCGATCCCCGACGCCTGAAGTGTCGCCTTCTGTGGCGACTGGGGCATGAGGAAGAGGATAGCTCCCTCACGCGGTCCGGGTCCTTCTTTGCGAAAGAGGAGACGACCTCCCTCTTCCTCTCGCTACGCACCATGGCCTAGATTAAGGTTAGGCGTGAGAGGTCGCCACCGCCGATCACTTCCCTGAGAACACGGCGGTGCTCCACCGAATACACCGACAGGGTAAAACAGATAACCTAAAACTCATTCTTCGCTTAAAATATTACTACAGAATAAACTCGTACGGTTCTCCCACGTTTTTTTATTTGTCTGAACTTTTAATGAAATCTGAGTTTTGTTTTGGCATTACTTCTCAGAGTAGTCAGGTAGAAACAGCCGGCTTCGTCGTTCGTTTAATTTAAATACACAATTATGTGTAAAAGTTTTACTTTAGGTTAGTGATACGGGTTGAATTGATAACGTCCTATTTTTTTAGTCTGACATAAATTTACTTCTACTAACATATCAATGAGAATTAAAATTTAAGTAGTTAAGGCTATTAACAGTCATAATAACATAACACAGCTTTTGATTTTTTTTCTTTCTGAGCTGTAAAACACAAAGCATGGTGTGTTTACCTTCAATTGTTTATTTTAAGCTTACCAAACATAAGCCATTATTAGCTGTAACATCCGTTAGTAAATCATTATTAATAATAAAGAAATTATCAATAATATAAAATATATAAATCGAATATATATTTTATTTTTGAAATTAATTAATAATTAATGTAAAATGTATGAATCGAATAAATAATAATTGCAACTAATAAATAATAATTTATAATACACTTGCAAAATAATAACCATTTATTATTTCTGTTGCGAGCATGCCCCTTTACAAAACAGATAATGAAGTTATGTTTACCTGTGATCTTCTTCACGAAGGGGTCGTACTGTAGACACCCGGGGAGTGGCCTGGTGGCGTCCCACACTCCAAGCCATGGCTTCAACTGTTGGGGCTCCTGGTAACAATAGATAAGGCAATTTAATACTAATTACTTATATGTACTTGGTATGTACAATCTTATTTATGTCGAAAACGTCATGACGAAAAGAAGGCTGGTAATCTAATTTAAGTTTGAAATCGCTGATCCGCTTTGAGTAAGTGTGGTGATTAATGCTCAAATATTCTCCACGTCAAAGACCTAAGCTAGTTTCTCCGAAGACCTTAATTGGTTGGAAGCCTTTGCTTTGCAGTGGGAACTTATCGGCTGATGATGGTGATGAAAAAATGATTTGTCCGGGTTGATAATTTATTATGTTTATAGACAGGTAATTTACGAAAATAAAGGCACAAGATACATACAAATTCCTGTAAGTATATAAATTGATAGAAAAAAAATCAGGTGTTAAAATGTTTTAATAAAAAAAAAGTTGGCAACGGTAATTTATTAATAGAACAATGAATTAAAACTTTTTCTGTCTTATGCCGCGAACCTTCGTAAGCCGCTGTCACATACACAACTTAACTGAAAAGTAAAATTTACTATAATGTTGTTGTTTTATTATCTTTGCACACTTATATAAAATTCGTTTTCAAATTGGCACTTGACAAATTTAACAATAATTTATTGCGAATTTACAATTCATAAAAATAAAATTATTACAAAATAATAATCACGCTTTCACTTATTGATCTTACGCTGTCTTTTTTAAATTTCGAAATGTTCTATTTCTGTTTTTAAAATAAAATATGCTCTTTGACGCAAAGGTAAGATGATTTTAGTCGCAACACAGAATGCCGATCAAAATTTATTTATCATTCGAAAAAGAATTGAATTCGACTAAGTAAGTAGTTGTCAAGCACGTCAAGTAAGTACCTACCCAATTCTATGTTATGGTTTAATAACAATTCTGTTTTTAAAAAAGTTAGCCAATTAGGGGACACAGTTGCACAGAGCACGGATGACGAAACAAATAGACCAATCAATGGACGCATAGCCCGAAAGTAATTGGCATTCTGCAATGTATAGACAACAGCACATCGAGCTATATCATTCTGCCAATTTTAGTTAACTATATTCATTTTGAAAGTTTCTTTCGCGTAAACAATGAAACAATGAAACAATGAATTTATTTTTTTTGCAAAAAAAGACGATCTTTTCATAAACATGACATTTACAGAAAACCTTTTTTATCTATAAACTCTATATTTGTATTTTTTTGTGTAGTAACTATATCGTGAGACACAAAAATTTAAAATCATAATTATCGGTATTTTAAAATTTTTAGGTTAATTTCAATAAATATTTTTATTATTTATATAATTTAGTATTTATGTGAAGCCGGTTCAGTATGCTAGTATAACTATCACCACTGAATCTAGATTTCTAGAAACATCTTTATTATTCCTAGTTGAAAGGTCAGTCACACGACATTTAGTATTCCAACCTAATATATTCAATGTTCATTGGATTGGAACTAGAGTTATTAATGAGGATGATAACTTAAAGGGGGTTTCGAGGATGTAACATAACGTATGTTGTAGATATGGGACAGGATTTGTCATAAGTTTCCTGCGTCGCTGGTGACGTCGCGATGGCGTCTTAAAGAGGCATTCTTGCAATAAAAAATAAAAAAATTCTTTCGGCCGCCATTTTTACACGACTACCGAAAAAGGAGTGTTATAAAATGTAATGTCGATTTAATTTGTATTTCGTTTTTAAATGTTACTTGTGCGAAACATTTTTTTTTATTAATGGATGCTTAGGTTATGGCAATGTTTAATGTTTATTTATGGAATTATGGTATTTAAACACTTTTTGGCGGGAATTAAAAATATTGGCTGACAACGTGGAAACCTACGATCAGTAAGGAAAAAAATTATGGTAGTGTAGGTACGTCATTTAAAATGTCGATGCGAGTTTTTTTTCTGACCGTTTTAAATGTATGGATAATATTACCATGTTTTTTTGTTTTAGAGCGATGTTGCTTCTTAGCGCTTCTAGCCCTAATCTAAGCAAACTTTAGATAGCTACAGACACAAGGTCATTCTCTAAGGCCAGTTTAAAACTCGTCTAAGACTATTATTTGTCAAACTAAACTAAATAGTTTGTAAAAATAACACTATTATGAACTTAAAGTTCAGAGACTTAGTTGCTAAGTAAACATTAGTTGGTCAAGTGGAAAATTAAGTAAACGTTTGGACTGTAGTTCGAGATATTTGGGTTGAAAAGACCTCTGAGGATTTTTGTGTCTGTGTTTTGTCTGGTAAAGTTTTCCTTCCATAACATTTAGAAGGTTATTAGTACTTAGAACTATCGCCAGTATCTCCAAACTACGACAACTTAGATCATTTTAAAAAGAGTTTAATTTTTTTAATGGTATTGGTCGGCAAACGGGCAAACGGATTATCAGATGAAAAGCAATCAGCGTCGCCCATGGACACCCGCAACAGCTTAATAGTGCGTTGCCGGCCTTTTAGGGATAAGGGTTTCGGATATTTAGGTAGGATAGAAATGGGGGAGGTAGAGGGATTGGGCCTCCGGTAACCTCACTCATACGGTGAAACACAAGGCTGTGGTTGTTTCACGCCGGTTTTCTGTAAGGCCGAGGTATCACTCCGGCCGAAGCTTGGCTATCCCACACTTCTTGAATTAGATAACGTAATACTACAAACTTAAGTAAAGTTTGTTAAGTAATTCTTAAAATTTGCAATTTTTGGCGATATTGGCCTGAAGCCTTAATGAGGCAACACCACCATTAGACCACCACAGATAGGGTCTAAGAGGGCTGATGGTGAGTACAGAGTTGCGGGGCAAACGGGAGGAGGTGGTTTTTACTCAGTAAGAGTTTGCCACTCACTCTCAGTTCACCCTGCGCAGGAGAAGTCATTTGATAACTCTCCCCTCAAAAAAGGGGATATTAACAGAAATGTTGGGTCCTCACTTTGCCCAACTACTTTATTTTATTGTTATTATTTATATTTTTGTTCAACTTTTTTTATAATTATATATGGTGCGTCTTTTGGCATTCTTATGGCCAAATAAATGATGAATAAATGATTTTCTTTCATTTTAAATCGTATTTACATGGCAAAAATAAAAAAAAAACATGAAGATTACTAACATACTTTCATGTACAAAAAATTTGGTTAACTTACATAAAAGCATATGTTATTTGGATGTACTTGAAATTGAATTTATTTTCGTATTTCTACATAAAAGCAGGTACAGTCAGCTCCAAAAGTCGATGAACAGAATCAACTTTACAAAACACCTGTTCACAATAAAATGCCATAAGTTATAGTCGCAACTAGAAAACAAAATAGCCTGTACACCAAAAATTTACAAAAGTCGTTAAACACGACTAATTCAAAAGTATCTATGCACTATAGTATTCCTAAAGTCGCTGTACACAATCAATCCAAATGTCGCTGAACATCATTGTATCAAAAGTCGCTAAGCAGCAGTAAAGACAAAATTAGGTTAACAAAGTATATTTTTAATGTTGCCCTGTGTTAATATACTTTTGACGCTTATGTTGTTCAGCTACTTTTGGGATAGTGCTCGCTAGACCTTAATAATGTATGTTGACACGTTAGTATCCATTTCAATACTTATTTACAAATCAATTATATTTTTACCCGACTTCAAAAAGGGAGGACGTTCTCAATTCGTCAAAATCTTTTTTTTATATTTATTTTATGGATGTTCCCCGATTACTCGAAGACGCCTGGACCGATTTGGAATTTTTTTTGTTCAGTAGGGTATGATTTCTAGGTGGTCCCATGTTCATCAGGTCAAGATCTGATGATGGAAACCCAGAAAAATCGAGGGGAAATTCATATATTTCTGAAGTTATTCAGGTATTTACGTCAACTTGTCGATAGTTGAACTCGGCTGATGAAGGCGGAAGAAAGTCGAGGGATCTCCATGACTATTTGGACTAATTGCCTTGTGATTGGGCCTGAATAATTCATCTTGGTGAGCACTTTGCACCAAGACTGGTAATGAATGTCATTAGGGGTCTGATGATGACAACGAAGGACAGCTCAGGGAGCTCCTGAACGGTTTACAGTAACTACCTCGTGTTTGGGCTTAATTCATTTATATCAATAAAAACTTCGCACCTACATGAGTTACAATGAAGTTATGCAGTAAATCTGATGATGGAGCCGGGAGACCGTCGAGGGATCTTTTTGACTATTTGGAGTAATTATGTTGTGTTTGGGCTTGAATGATTTGTATTAGTGAGCACTTTGCACCTATATGGATTATGTAAGTATATTGAAGGTCTATAGTATACATGATCATGGAGACCATTGACAGTCGAGGGAATTCCTCAACGATTTACAGCACTGAACACTGACTAACTAAGGACTACTACTATTACCGTCATTTTCGGTCTCAAGGAGCCGTCGTCTTCTCATTCGAAAAGCATTATCCTTGCTTGCTCTGCCTTTTTTTTTTAAAAAAAAAAACAACCTATCACTTGCCTATCACTTAAAATGGTGAAATAAAATATTTTTTAACAAAAAAACAACCGACTTCCAAAGTAAACTAAAAAGCAAAACATTTTTTTTTCTATTTACAAAGTAATACAGTTTTAATTTAGGTACTTAAATAGAAAATAATATTAATAACTATTTTTATAATTTCGAAGTCGGTACCAAGTAAGTGCCAGGTGCCAAATAAACCAATGATGATAATGATGAATAGTAGAGTTATGTTTATGTTGTTTCATATTATATATTAGTATGATTACTGACAATATGAGTTAAGTTCAAACACGAAGTAGTAACTATACCTAAACCGTTCAGGAGTTCCCTGAGCTGCCCTTCGTTCTCATCATCAGACCCTTAATGACAGTTACGACCAAGCCCGGTGCAAAGTGCTCACCAATACGAATCATTCAAGCCAAAACACAAGGCAACTACTCCAAATAGTCAAGGAGATCCCTCGACTATCTTCCAGCTCCAACATCAGGTCCACTTCGACCTTCATCAAGTTATAGTGTTGTA